TCTCCTCTTCTGATTTTTTTTTTTTTTTTTGAGTTGGAGTCTCACTCCATCGCCCAGGTTGAAGTGCAGTGGCACACTCATGGCCACCCCAGCGTCAACCTGCTGAATTCTGGCGATCCTTCCACCCCAGACTTCAAAATAGCCAGATCTATAGGCGTGCTTCCACACCTGGCGAATTTTTTGACACATTGTAGAGACAAGGTCTCACCAAGTTACCTAGGCTGGTCTTGAACCCCTGGACTAAGGCAATTGTCTTACCTCGGCCTCCCAAAGTGCTGGGATTACAGGCTTGAGCCATTGCACCTGGTCCCTCCTCTGATTTTTAACACAAATTCCCTTAAGCTGTCACTGGAGCATAGTCCTATTTCAACATGAGGACCTGTGGATATCTTTGTTACCACAGGATCTCAGGATTGGAAGACACCCTTGGGGCATGCCATCCAATACTGATTCCAAATTTTTTCTTTAGACTTCAGAACTTTCCCTTTGGGGATGCATATAGACTTCTAAACTCATATTAACAAAAGCTTGGTAAAGATATAGGCTCACATTTCTTTAGACACAAAACAATCATTTTCTCAATATTTTAAACATAATGTTTCTTTCATTGACTTGAATCAGAAGTCAGTATCGGTCCGGCTAGGTGGCTCAGCCTGTAATCCCAGCACTTTGGGAGGCCGAGGCGAGTGGATTGCCGGAGCCCAGGGTTCAAGATCAGCCCAGTCAACTTGGCGAGATCTCGTCTCTACAACAAAATTTAAAAAAATGTAACCGGACATGATAATGCCCACCTATAGTTCCAGCTACTTGAAAGGCTGAGGCGGAAGGATTGCCGGAGCCCAGTTGGGGATTAATGGTGAGGTGACCATGAGCATGCCACTGCACTCCTGCCTGGGCGATAGAGTGAGACTCCAATTCAAAAAAAAGGATGTCAGTATGCAGAGTCTGTCCAAAGCTAAGTGTATCCTTCTGCATTTTTAATTTTGATAAACCATGACAATTTGCTTTCCACAGCAGTTCTATCAACTTGCATTTCCACCAGCAATGTATGGAAATACCTATTTTCCCTACAGCTCTTATAAACCTATTGGAGTTTCTAGTACGATATGTAAAAAAGTGTATTTCTGTTAGCAGTGTTAATGATTTTAATGTACATTTAATGTACTATTACATCATTATGCACAAGATTATACATTCTTTCATAGGTTTAAGAATCACTTGTATTTATTTTTGCATACACTGTAATCTTGTTTTGTTAGTCTTTTCTTCTCTATTTCTGAGAATTCTATACATATTAGAGAGCGTATTAGTCCTTTGCTATGATAAGCTGTTAATAGTTTTCCCAGTTTGTGAATCTGTTTTTTGATTTGCTTATGGTGAATGTTGCCCAGCAAAGTTATTTTAAAACATTTTTATGGAATTGAATTTCTCAAATTTTTAAATAACTTCTTGATTTTGAATCGAGCTGTGTAAGCCTTGCCCACCAAAATGTTATAAATAATTATTGTTTCTTGAGACCATTTATGATACTTTGAGAGGAATGAAGCCAGTTTTACTTTTTTCCATATAGCAATCCAGTTGTCCCAAATCCATTTGTTGAATTCATTATTTATTTTATTTGTTGGTCAGCCTATTTAGTACCTATACCACATTATTTTAGTTATTGCAGCTTTGAAATATATTTTAATAATCTGGCAGAACTAGTTGATTCTCATTGCTATTGTCTTTCAAATTTTTCTTAAACATTCCTTTTATTCTCTCTCTGTCTCTCTCTCTCTCCCTCCCTCCCTTCCTTCCTTCCTTCCTTCCTTGTCAGTCTTACTCTGTTGCTCAGGCTGCAGTGCAGTGGTACACTTATGGCTACTGCAGCCTAGACTTGCTAGGCTTAGGCTAGCCTTCTGCCTCTGCTTTCCAAGTGGCTGGAACTACAGGTGTGCGTCACCACAACCACCTAATTTTTTTTTATTTATTGTAGAGACAAGGTCTTGCCAAGTTGCCCAGGCTGGTCTCGAAGTCCTGGGTTCAGGCAGTCTTCTCGCCTCTGCCTCCCAAAGGGCTAGGATGACAGTCTTGAGCCACTGTGCCCAGCCTTGTTTACTTTCTTTCTGAACTTTCAAATTGCCTGTTCTGGGTTCTCATAACTTACCAAAATTGCATTCGCATTTATTGCTGTTACATTTTTATTAGCTTAGTGAGAATAGACATTTTTGTTACATTGTCTTCTTATGTTCCTATTCAAAAACATGGTATATCTTTCCAGTTCTTCAAATCATTGTATCCTTCCAGTGTTTTACTTTTTTATATAAGATTATACACAATTTTTGATCATCTTATCTGTAAGTTTACCTTTTCTGTTGGTATTGTTACTTTTTTCTTTTTATATCTTTCTATGCAATGTTGTTTGTCTTAATGAAAGATATTGATTCCTAAATTTTAAAGGCATACAGACCACCCTACCAAATTCTCATGTTTTATGCATTTTTCCATCCATTCTCTTCAGTTTTTCATATTTAAAATAATATTTTAAAATAATAATAGTTTTAACTACTGCTTTCAAATTATGCCTGCAAGTTTTTGCGTGTACATTAGTATTTGCTAGTGCCTCCAGTACAAAGTTAAGTAATAGTGATAATGGGAGACATTCCTGTTCAGTTCCTGACTTTAGCGGAAACATCTCCAATGTTTCCCTTACATTAAGCACAATATTAGTTTGGTGGGCTGAGATCTTTAAAATTATATTGGGGAACAATCTATCTTTTCCTTCTTGATTATTGTTATTTTAAATAAAGACAGTTATTGAACTTATCAAATGTCTTTCGATGTCTAAAGAGATGCCATAACCCATACTATGATCTATTACCATACAAATATTATAGACTTATTAAAGGATACAAAATTATAGGTGAATAAGAGGAACAAGTTCTAGTGTTCTAGGTCACTGTAGAATGGCTACAGTTAGCAAGAATAAATGGTTTCAAATAACTCAAAGGAAGGTATCCAATGCTCCTAACACA